TGTACTCTAGTGGCAATTTTTAAGGACAAAAAGCAACTCTGGTAGAACCAGAAATTAAAATCTCCTTGAAACACCAAGGATTTGTGGCTAATCCTAGGTAAACACCAAGTCAATGGTAGAATAAAAATTCAAGTTCAGCTGTCCTGGCTCCATTTCTAGGGCTGTTAATCAGAACATGATACTGGCCTACCACTAGTGTTATGTACAGAAATCAGTCTTTCCATCCTGTTTCTCAGCTAAGATTAAAGTTGGCGTAGCTTTCTTGATATTTTCAGCATTGATTTTGATATCAAATATTTCACTTTTCTGTTTTGTTTTCTGCCTTTCTTACTATCTTCTTCACTTCTCTCTGCTCCACCATGCCAATTCCCCCATTTTTACATCGACAGCTTCTTCTCACAAATACTGGATGAGGGCAAACTACAAGGTTGGTCATAAATTACTGAACTGTGAATCCATACACAATTGTGAGATGAGTTTTCCTGGGTAGCAGTGGTTATGATTTGAAACCTGTTAAAATAAAATATAGTGAGGTATTTAGAACAAACATAATGAATACTGTCCACTGTGTACACAATGCTAAAACAAATTGATGATGCTATTACTGAAAAGTTTCTAAAGTGCGTATATTGTTGGAAAAGGAAACTTAAATTTAGATTGTATTAGTTCTCAAATGGTAAAAGAATGGCCTTCACATTAATTATTAAGGGATAAAAAAATTTTTTAAAGAATTTTAAGGCATAACTATTTCTTAAAGAAATACTACTAGTTGCATAAAAATAAATAAAGCTTCCTACAAAAAGGTAAAGCCAATTAATATTCTATCGGCAGTTCTTTTCTTATCTCTTGACCTCTTACCTAGAAGTATATTTATCAAATAAAACAACAGTTTAGTGAAATTGTTATTGGGTATATTTAGTGAGTAGAGCAAGATGTATTGCTCAAAGGGATGTAGAACTAAATGAGGGATTCTTTTTGAAGGCAGGGCAGACAACCCTGCGTGTTTTAACGCATCCTGAAGGCAGAATCCTATTAGCATGAAATGATAGACAATTATGATAGTTACCACGGGTAAGTGGAAGCATGGCTCTGTTCTGCTTGCTCTTCAGCCTCCTGCTGGAGCAGTGTCAATTACTCAAGTTCACAGGACATCACCAAGCCTCAGTGTGAAAGCTACGGTCTGATATTCTTTATCTTGTGCATCTATCTGTCTCTTCTTGGCTCTGAGCTTGGTGGATTGAAAGAATTCTTCTGTAGAAACAACTAGACTAAGGACATGAAACAACTTTGATCCAGTCCTCAGGGAGAATTCTGACTAGTGTTCTCTAATTAGTTTTCTTCACACCCAATAGTGTTTTGGATAGGTTAAGTTATTGCCACCCAGGAAACCAAGGCATTGTAACATATCAAAATGTTAGTTTGGGCCCACTCTTGTGACTTTAGAAAGAACCCACTAATCATATGTTTAAAATAACAGAAGCAAACTCAAGACAAAAAAGTGCTATAGAAAAGTTGGGTATGTATTTTGTCAGGATTGTTAATGAATTTACTGTGCTTGTGCCAGTGGCAGTAAAATATTAAGTGGTGTAAAAATCAAAATGTCATCATACTCAGCAGTTTGCTTTAGTCATACCAAATGGTGCCCGCCAGAGCAAAAGAACAGCCACTCTGTAAACTTCAAATTAATTCTACAAACATTTAAGATATACTCATTAAGCAAACATCAAAAATAATCAGACATAAAAAAAATCAACATGAATGAAATATAGGAGGAAAATGTAGTAGAAACAGACATACATGAATATAACACATTGGGATAATCAAAGACAAATGTTAAAACTATACTCATTGTATTCTAGGAGTTAAAATACAATGTTGAGAATGTTGGAAGTAAGCTAGGAATTATAAATAGTGATGAGGTAGAATTAGAAAGTACTAAGTTGAAATTAAGAACTCACTAAATTCACTAAATAATATTTAAAATTTTAATGGATACTTTTAACAGCAGAATAGCAACAGGTGAGAAAAAATAGTGAACTGGAAGATATATGAGAAGTAAATAAATAGATTAAAGACAAAAGGATAAAAAAGTATATGAAAAACAAATAAGACATAAAATACTGTGAATGGGTTTATAATGCATATAACTGGGATCCCAGAAGAAGGGAAGACAAGGACAAAGCAACATTTTAAGCAAGAATGGCTGAGAATTTTCCAAAGCTTAAAAGAGACATCAGACTTAAAATATTTATTAACTTCAAACAGCTTACTTTTCAAAAACAACAATAAAACAATAGAACACATTACAATAATACCTTTGAATGGCTGGGAGGAAAAATTTTAAATGTTTAATTTTATACCCAATGAAAACATTTTTTAGAAAAGTTGGAATAAAACAATTTTATACAAACAGAATTCAACTCTAAATTTTCAACTCTAAAGGAAATACTAAAGAGTATTCTGCAAGCTTAAAGAAAATAACTCAAAATGGAAGGTAGGAGAGGCAGAAAAGAATAAGACACAATGAAAACCATAAAAACTTGAGAGAATCTAGATGAACTGACTGCATAAATCTACACGTCTACAGTTTTCTAAGGTTATATTTTTATTGAATCCACGATGTCATCAACTGTTGATGTACCAGTTATTCAATCTAATATAGTGAAATAAATTTATCAAAGATAGAAATTTAAATGAAAACCTGACAGAAGTTAGAAAACAAAGGACTATTTTGGTGATGCAATAAATGAAAACTTAAAACTACCGAATAGAAAAGAATAACAATGAAAAGTGCATGTCTCAATCTTACCACCAGGTGGAAGATAGGAGGAAAAAATTATATCCCTTGAGAGTTTAACCACAAACTGGTACTCATACAGTTCTATCCAAATCCATAATACCAGTCAGTGTATTGGGGAAAAAAACAAACAAAAAAACATTCAAGTGGAATGTTTAATTTAAGTAGCCTCAGGTTTGTGGTGCTTCTCTTTGGCAAAAAAAAATTGCTAATCCTTCTTGACAGACCTCAACTTCAGTTCAGGCCTACAGTGATTATAAAAGGCCAGCAATTTGTCCTAGTCAAGACATATGCCAATTTTAGACATCGTAAATTGGAAAAAATACGTGTCAGCAATAAGGTATGCAAAAATAATAGCATGTAAATCGAAGAGGGAGTACGTAGAGTAAAAGAATATTCTAATATTTTTATATTGCCCAGGAAGAACATAAAAAGGCCAATTAACATTAGACATGGATGAATGAAGAATACTTGCTGTAATCTCTAGAGTAACTGGTAAAATATTAGTAAAAGAGTAAATTCTAAACTAATGTAAGAAAAGGTGGAATAATAAAAAGTATTAAGTCAGTCGAAAAAGAAGGAAGTAAAAGAACACTGAGTGGGCCATTACCTGCAAGATATAATAATTCTAAGTCTATAGTCTATACGCGTCTAATAATGTGGCTTTCACACATCAGCTAAAATATTTGCAGAATTGTAAGTAGAGCCACAGTGGAAGATTTTCATATAATTCTCTCTGGATGGGAAGAAGCAGCAGCTAAAAATAAGAAACTTCGATCACACTGAGTATGTTCTCCTAGCATGATGAAATTATGCTGAAACTTAAAACCAAAGGATAACTATAAATACAGATGTTTATAAATTAACAAATACATTTTGAAGTAACTCATAGGTTAAAGCACAACTCATGATGCAAAATAGGAAGTATTTTGAACTGAATGACAATGAAAATACATTAAAATTATAGCCTTAAATGTACATATTTGAGAAAAAGAAAGAGTGAATTATGGGAGTCAAGCATAAAAAATGTTGGAGAAAGAATAGCAAATTCAAGACAAAGAAACTGGTTGAAAAGAAGTAATAAACATGAGAACTGAAACTAATGGAAAAATAAAATTTAAACACAGATAAAGGGAAAGAGAATTAACAAAACCAAAACTTCTTTCTTTGAAAAGATTAATTAAATTGGAAAATACACCCACTGAGAATGATGGGAAAAAGAAAAAAAAAGCTGCACACACAAACACCTCTATAATAGAAACTTAAAAGGGGAATATAATTTTATATTCTGCAGATATGAAAAGAAAAATGAATGACAATTGCAGTGAGGAAGATTTCAACACTTTGTGATGGTTAATTTTATGTGTCAACTTGACAGATCACACCCACATTAAACATTATTTCTGAGAGTGTCTGTGAGACATTTTTGGATAAAATTAGTATTTGAATCAATAAACTCAGTAGAGTAGATTGCCCCTTCCAATGTGGGTGGGCATCATCTAATTCACTGAGCATCAAAATAGAACAAAAAGGTGGAGGAAGAAAGAATCCATTCCATTTTTCCTACTTTGTGAGCTGAGACATCTCAGCTCATGTCATTTGTCCCTGTCTTGTCACTGGGTTTTACACCATCTGCTCTCCTGGTTCTCGTTCCTTCATACTTAGCCTGAATTACACAACAGCCTTTTTGGGTCTCCAGTTTACAGAGGGCAGATTGTGGGATTTCTTAGTCTCCACAATCCTGTAAGCCAATTCCTCGTAAAAAATATCCATTCAAAAATTCTTCCTCATTGTGTATGTATTTGTTAGAGCTATCAGAGAAACAGAACCAATAGGAGATCTATATAAATCTCCTTCTCTGGAGATGCTTGGCTAGTACATACACAATGAGGAAGAATTTGTAATCATGGAAGCATGAAATATGTTGAAAGTAGCTTGTATTACACATTTACTATGTGCAAGACACTATGCTAAGTGGTTTTACTTTTATTTCCCTCACCTCAAAATCCTGAGAGATAGATACTATTTTTAGTTTTATTTTTAGATGAGGAAGGAGGCTCAGATAGGTTAAGCAACTTAGCCATTTTCACACGTGAGTGGGCCAGTCATGGACTCAAACCGAGACCTGACTCCAAAGTCCATGCTCTTAAGTACAGTTTTATACTGACCAACTGTGAGTGCTCCATACTGGACAACTTCAAATAGGTGCTAGATGCCCTCCTGGTGAGAAAGCTGAGGGAACACTTGCGTTGATGGCACTAGATGGCCACTCAGTTCTTTGTAACTATGAATCCTCCACCACCCGTTTTTTCTCCTGGCTCACTTTTTCTTCCTCCCCAACACTATTCATCATTCTCTCTGTCTTTCTTATATATGGTCAACAAATCAGATTCTTAACTGCTTGACATGCTCTCACCTTTCTGAGAAAGGGTGTGAGCCTTTCTCTCTCTAGATACTTACAAGTAAGAAGAGAACATTGAGCCATCCTCCCAGAGCCATGTTCCATTAGTCTGATGGCGAGAGAGCCCTAGCCAAAATGATTCAGTAGGTTTGAAAGAACTTTGAGTTTCTATAAATTCCTGTAGGGAAACAAACACAAATACACGTCAAGGAGAGATAGAGATAGAGATAGACAGATATAATAGACAGAGAGAGACAACAGAGAGAGACTCTTACATTGAGAAAGAGACAACAGATTGAATGACCATGCTGCAGGGTGCATGCATACACTGGCATCAACCTAACAAGAAGTGCCAATTCCTTTTTTTTTAGCTTTTTTTTATTGTGAAATGCACATTTTTTAAAATTAGTTTCCACTGTACAACACAGTGCAATAGTTATACTTTTTACCCCTCAAAGTGACAACCCCTCCATCTGCCGCCCCACTTCCCCCCTGATATCATACATATATATTACAATTCCCGTGACTCCACTCCCACACTATACTCCACGTCCCATGACTATATATATTCATGACTATATATATATATATATATATATATATATATATATA